TCCGCGAAAGTTGTTGTGTACTTGATTTGCCGTATAGGCCTTGTAAGGTATATGCTGTACTAGTCCGTAGGCATACAGGTCTCAAGCTCGCTGTCCCGCCATGTCGCGATATCTTTTTGTGAAATCATAGTAGGTTGAGCGCGAAAGATCCGATAAAGATGCGCGAAAGATGCCGCGAAAGAAGCCGGGTCCCTTGAAGGCAGTACTACTGCTGCTACTACTACTACGACGACGACGACGACGACGACTACCTCGAACATGTCGCGTGAAAGTGAGGGCGAAAGTCCCGCGAAAGGAAAGCAATAATCCGCGAAGAAACCATTTCCAGAAACAGGAATATTGATCAACGCGCATATGGATAGATAGACAGACAGATGGATAGATAGATAGATAGATATACAGATAGATATAGATAGATACAGACATAGATAGATACAGATATAGATAGATAGCCAGATAGATATGATCATAGGTGTCTACAGCGGCAAGATCAACTGAGGTGGACAAGGTTTGGAGGCCGGTGTTCGAGCTGTGCCGAGCCTTGCGCGAGTTCCCCTCCCTGTACGCCAACTGCTACGTGACCCCGCAAGAGTCGCAAGCAGCCCCGCCACACGCAGACGATCGGGATGTCCTCGTCTTCCAACTCGAAGGCTATGGCCTGCAAGAGGAGGGAGAGAGGTTCAAGAGGTTCTGGGCTTAGGATCCGACCCCGGTTTCGGGATTTCTTATTGAGTCAGCTTGTCGAAGGCACCAAGCACTGGAAGATCTACGGTGACTCTCCCATCTATATGCCCTACCCAAGCGAGCAGGTGGGCAAGAACGGTCTCGAGGTCCCTCCCGAGCTGCTGGACTCAACGCCTGCTTTTGAGCAGACCTTGAAGGTCTCTTGGGCTTTTCGGCCACTTTTTTCTGTAAAGCTGAAGGAGAAAGAATCCTAAGAGCTGCTGGTGAGGTAGGGGATGTCCTCTACGTGCCCCGTGGCTATGTGCACGAGGCCACCACGCAGAACGAGGCCTCTCTTCATCTGACGGTGGCTGTGCCGACCTACGACTGGACCGTTTCGCGGGTACTCTGCGATGCCTTGCAAACCCTGTTGGATGGTCCCGGAGGTCTCTGCTTGTCTTCTTTGATGTCTTTGTGACAGAACCTCCTGTCCGGTTTCATATGTTTTGGTTGCCTCACGATGTGGGCCCTGCAGGCCGCGAGGAAAATCCGTGGCGGAGAGCTGTGCCCTTCCGGGCCGGGCGCTGGACTGAGATGCCGGGCGTCTTCGACAAGGCATGTTTGCGCGAGATCGTGGAGCACATCGATCTCAACCATGCGCAGGCCGTCTTCCGGGCAAAAAATGCTCATCACAACGAGCGTCAAGAAGAAGCCTTGAGCTCTGCAGAGTCCTGCCCGACGGCACGTCCAGCTGTGTCGAGCTCCACCGAGCTACGGTGGCACAGCGGAGGCGGCTCAGTCGATGGCTTCCAGGACGGACACCCGAGGGTCGCTCTGGGATGCCCGTTTTCGAAGATCTGTTTTGCAGCCGTCTGTGTGGAGAGCGGTTTGGCTGCTCTCGTGGATTCAGGTGAAAAATTCAGCGTCGGATGTTGCTGCTTGCCAGTCTCTTTTTGCTCGCATGGGCATGAGCCTGCCGGCTAACTTCCCTGCCTTCTCAACCGCCTGCGATTGGGAGCACACTAGGCTGGGGCATTTTGCCAGGTTCGGGATTGAAGGCTCCACGGCTCTTGTGTGGGAACGGTGCCCTCTTGCTCTTGTTATGTCCCACCGAGCCTCTGAGCTCAGCGCCATCGTGTCGCTTAAGCCTGACAGCCCTCATTCCATAGATTTAAACCTCAACCCTGAACCGAAGACCCATGTGAAGATTGTGGGTGCGAGAGTAACAGAAAACCATGGCTTTGGGGTTTAGGGTTTGATTGCCAACAGTCGTTGCCTGAAGCCTCGAATTCAACTGAAGGCATAGCAGGACGACAGGATGGAGTCCCCAACCACAGCCGCCTGCCACGGCGCTACAAAACCAATCGTTTCAAGCGATTCAAGGGAGGGCCGCACACAGTGACTCATGCCTCCGCGATGCAATCTGCCTAAAGTAGGACCTACAGACCCCCACCCTCACAGCAAAGCGCCCTGCGCGCAGGAGCTGCTGGCGCCGGATCTGAGAGGTGTTGTATTGATCGAGGTGCTGTGTTTAGTTCAGACACTCAAGACCACAGACCAAAGGCTTGTCTCAGATCAAAGCCTAAGCCTGGCATTTGGGCCAGGCGGCGGGGGAGTACGCCACACAGGCAGAGTTCGTGGCCCCGGCAAGTTCATGGGGCTTTGGTCTCCACTTCAAGCGGGAGGTAGAGGCAGAGAGGCACTTCTAGCGACGAGGGGAGGGTGAGAATGACATGTCCTTGAAGGCTCATGCCTTAGGTGCAGGTGAGACAGAGTAGAGGAGACAAGCATGACCAAGGCCTTGAGCATGAGCGAGAGAACCGAAGGCAAGAGAACGATGAGAGAGAGAGAGAGTGAGAGAGACAGAGAAACTAAAGAAGACTAGGAGAGCAAGACGTGTCCAGTGAAGTTCTGGAAAGCGCCTGTCTCCAAGCGCTGCAGCACGAAGCTTTCTCCCACGACCTTAAATAAAGCAGTAGGGACCGCTTGACAACCCTAAAACCTGGTTGAGCCCTGAACGCTTTGCTGGGTTGCGCACATAGATCCGTGTTCGGAAACTCGGCTCTTAGCGACAGCGCTTAGAGTCATCTGGTCGGGGTGTGGCTGCGAGCAAGGCTCAACTAGGTGGCACTTTGGGAAACTGCAACAATTCCGTTATGGTTCCTATAGAGGTACCTATTCATACAACCCAGTTCAGGTAGCTTGACTTGCCCTGCGGAGCCTGCAGCCAGGAAGCTGCAGAGCTACAGCTGCTGAGGGCGGTGGAGTACCGAATGCACAGGCACTTGACGAACGGTGTTCTTATTGGGGGCGGGAGGGTATTAGTCAAGAATTCAAGGACTGCGGATGCGAATATCAAGGTTTTCGAGCTTGATGCCGAGTTTCACCATGTTGCAGACTGGTTTGAGTTTCGGGATTGATGGTTGAGCGTGGGTTTCGAGACCTGCATTTTGGGGGCTGCTGTGTCTTCTCCTTAATCTGCTGGGCGGGCCGAACCCTCTTCTGGCAGCTAGTGTGATGTAACATGCAGTGATGTACTGTATACGGTGCAAATGTTATGATACAGTATGTGGTAAGTATCGTCATGCATGAACTACTCGCACAGATATCGCCGAACAAGCCAAAGCCATGCAAGGCCCCGAAGTGAACATCCTGAGTTCCAACGCCCTACACTGCCTTACACCCTCAACTCCAAAGTGTAACGAACCAGCACCCTAAAACAAGTCATGCCATAAATCCCAAAGCCCTGGACCGTAAACCTTAATCAACCCGGACCCCCAGACCTGAACCCCAAACCTTAAACCTCTACTAACCTGCAGCTTAAATCAGAAAGCCGAACACAGCCCGACCCAGCCGAGCCTGGAAGGCCGACGCCCCTACATCACAGAGATTGGCACCCGGCCCAGCCGCGGTTTAAGGGTTTAGTATTTAGGGTTTGGTGTTTAGGGTTTAGGGTTTAGGGCCCAGGGACTAGGTCGTCCGGTTTGTCATTTGGGAGTTTCGATGTTGGTCTCGACTTGTCAACAACTTAGCGAGCAGATAAACCTCAACCCAAAACCCAAGCGCCCTACACCCTAAACCCCAATGCGAAATACATCTAAATACTGAGCCGCGCAAACCGTGGGCACTTACCGGATACGCGACAAGTTCAGACTCCTTCAGGCAAGTCGGGGAGTCGGGTCGCGGGCACTGCGCGGACCACAGCCAAGCTTTAGATATGAACCTATACACGTGCACATATGTGTATGTATTTTTTATTCATATGCATGTACGCATAGGTATTAGATGATACTACAATGCCGTCATGTAGTCCCGAGGCAGATGCACGAATCAATTACAGGTGCCGGTATATGTATGTAGGCATGCATGTATGTATGTACGCACGTATGTATGCGTGTGTGTGTGTACATATGCATGTATACGTGCGTGTATACGTTTCGGTGTGTGTATATATATATATGTAATGTATGTGCAAGCATACGACAACTCCATTACGTAAATATAGCGTGCAAGCAAAAGTTGCCGACAACATGGACTTTGCGTGCAGCACTTTAACCCTATATCCTACACCACAAACCCAACCCTGCGATCCCAGCTGCTCTCAGCGAGGTTCGTGGAGTATGTTCACCACTTCGAGGGCTTCGGCGACCGGAAGGCTGCTAATTTGGAGTCACAGTTGCTATAGTCACATTTGCTATCATTCTTCTTCTGCTGGTTGCTATTACCAAACGTCGCCGTTCTGAAACAAGTCAGAATACAGAAGCCTGAGTAGCCAGTAATGCTACTCCTCAGGGTTCCTGAATTTCATGATTCTGCAATGATACTGTAATGTAACCCAAAGCGCTATTCAAATTATTAAGGGTTTTCCCTCTAAAGCCACGAAGGCTTCAAGGGCAAGCATCCCAAACGCCACCTTATTCTCAAGCAGTCTAGCCCAACTTTCCATGTAATAGCTATCTATTTGCAAACCTGCACCTGGGCATGATCGACATGTCGGATAGACCGAGCAGCCCTGTGCCTAGCTCGTTTCAATCCCTTTGTCGCTACCATTGTGGGCCAGTGTCAGAGATTAACATTGTAACATAGAAACCCTTCGTCAGAAGGAGCCAGATGTGGAATGATTCAACCCGAACTGCATCCGACATCCTCGACTCAGCCAGGAGAAGGTGAGGCTGGCCTCGACATTCATTTGCGAGTGGCGGGCTTGGCAGGGATGCCGAAAACAAGACGACTTGCGATGCAGGGTTTCCATCGGATCCACATGAATTGCTGCTTTGAGACTGCACAAAGGCAAACGAAGCGTTGCAGAAGCCTTTCTTGTATGCACGCTCTGCCTGCGCATATGCACGCATGCTTGCGGCAAAAGTTCCACGAAGCCGCTCAAACTTGCCGTTCTTGCTGACCTTGGTATGTTCAAGAGGTTGCCATGCTGCGCTTGTGATGCCTGCCGGTATGGTGATGGTCGAGTCATTGTCGTGTTATCGTCGGGGTTCATGTGACATCCTTCTACAGGTTGGCCCTCCTGAGCGCCGGGAGCCCAGTGGTACTGAAGCCTCAACAGGCCCCTGTAGCAACCCGTTTAGAAAGTCTGAAAGACCCGTTTAACAGCAACCCGCAAGGCTTGGATGAGGAAACAGGTGAGTTCGGCCCCCCGCGGAATTACATGCATGTCCTGCGGTCCTACGGTTGTGTTTGCATTCTCAAGCTGCCACCGTAAGCCCAGCAACCTCTGAGGAGGCCGCAGGACGCTGGGCCCCATCGCTGCATGCCGCCGCGACCGTGATGATCGCCGGCACGATGTTTGGGAGGCGGCAACAGCCGAAGCTTTGCACGAGGATTCTTGTGTCTACTTTATGCCAGGGGTTTTGCAGTGTGTCAATGTGCGTTCGGAATACATGCGGGAGTCTTGAAGAGCATTCTGCCCACAAATGTCAGACTTCGTAGTAGGGTTTACGTATTTCTTTCGAAGATTTGCGCCTGCAAGAAGATGGTCCATTGTACGTGATGCTTGGATCGGCTCGTAGCCCTTTGCAGCCAGTTGGAGGCATCGCCTCGAAGTTGATGGGAGGATATCACGAGCATGATGGTGAAAGTGCAGTTTCCACTTCGGCGGCGGGCAAGTTTGTACCTGCAGATGAGAGAAGCCTCAGGACGACTAGTTAAATTAGATCCAGCTGCGATCGTAAAGGCTTGTTCGGTTTGAGCACGCTGTTATTAGCACACACTAGAATCTCCTAATCCCTAAACCCTTCTAGCTCCTAAACCTGAAGCCCTGAACCAGGCCCGGACATGCTCTCCAGTCCTTTGCCGCTCCAAGTGAGCGGCGCTTGCATCAGCTGCGCGGGGCTCAGACGAAGGTTGCCTTTGTTATAGTATAAGTATAAGTAGACTCGCTCGCGGTTCTGCCTTGCCGAGCCCGGGCGTGCAAGCTGTGTGTGCTATAGTATAAGTAGAAGCATACACAACAAATCTCCTGGGCCAAGTAGTGTTCCGGCCTACCGTTGAACAAGGGGTTCGATTTGTCAGTATGTGCTGCATTCGCGGAGGCGTGTGATTCTTCGAAGCATCTGCAGCCTCTTCACGGACCGCTCCGGGGCGGTCACGACTATGCTGCTGAACCCTGAGTTTTCAACATTGTAGATGCAAAGCCTCTTCGATCAGGAGCCGGGCATCGAGCAGCATGCCATTTATCGAAAGTATGCAGGCCTGCCAGTGTGTTTCGAGAAGCAGTTGGTGGTGAAATCAACCCCCTTTATGTTGATTTGAGTCCAGTTGCTGCCCTGTGAGGTGATGATTGGTCGTCCATCGCCGTCGAGGCTCTTGTCTGACGCTGCGTTCTGGCGCTGTGAGGTTCCTTCGTTGTGTGATAAACGCAAGGCGTTCTTGAGATGTCAGGTGCAGCAAATGATGACCACAGTCTGAGACGACGACTTGGCAGCAAGCTGTCGCGCAAGTGCGAGCTTGTCAGAATTCAAAGGCTGCCTTGAGCAGTACACTGTCAGGCATGATGAAACACAGTTGGAAGGGACATATCTACCACGATTGAAGCAAGTGGTATGTGAAGTTGGCCCAACTGGCCCAGCATCCTTTCTCTTCTGCAGCGGGCCCTGGTGTGTCAACCGACCGACCGGGCTTGCAGGAGCTTGCGGTCGCGGTGGTTTGGTTGCGGCCCGCACGTGCACGGCATCTTAAAGGGCCATGCGAATTCGCCTCGGCACGTCTCCGATCACTGGCCAGGCTATCCCAGGCTCTGTAAGTAGTACTGGTAGTTACTCTAGATAGTACTGTACTGCAGCAGATGTGGCCATAGGAAGGAGCAGCTAATGCTTGTTCCAATTCTTATAGCGCCAACGGCAGTTTCAATGGAAAGAAACGGCCTACGCCTGCCACGGGAAAGCAAGGGCGCAGCTCCGGATATCGGGAAGACATCGAAGGGATCCTCTGCGCCCGGATGAAAACAGAGCTACAGCTCCTGCGGCACTTGGCAAGCATGGTCACACCCTAAATGCCTCGAATTGAACCCCTAAGCCCATAAGCTACGGAACAGTCCCGGAGGTGAGGTCGGTTGTGAGCCTTATCCATCAGCCTGCAGCGTGCTATCGCAGTTTAAGACGGGGTTGCCACATGTATGGCAAGGGCAAAGTAGATTCGCCCTGGCGTTTGCCAAATTTCGAAAAAAACCGGGTGCATGTGAAGGCGATCATCCGGCAGATCACCGCCTCCGTCACGTTCCTCCCTCTTCTGGATGAGCGCCCGCCCGAGCCGTTCCCGTTTCTCTGATCTGGGCCCTACGACAGGCTCCTGAACAACCTGTACATTTTGCAGATGTGCAATCACGATGTAGCCCCAAGCCTGCACACTGCAGAATGCTATGCTGTCGTGCTCGTGATGGCAGCTGAAGCGCTCGCTTGGGCTTTTTCAGAGACTGCAGTTCCCAAACCCTGTGAAATTACCCGCCAACTAATAACTGTCTTCTTGTCTTCATAGACATCGCTCTCAGAGCTTACGGTCTTGGTCCCACATGTTTGCCTAGCCGCCCGAGGGAAGCAGCCTGCAAGTAGCGTCACTGTCAAAATGTGCGAGCTGGGAGTCTCCATGGTCAGACTGAGGCCCTGTGCTTTCGATCTGCTGATTTACACAGACCGTGGTGCAGAGGCAGTTGGGGCCATCTTTAGCTGTTTAGCATCTGCATGAGTTTCTTTGGAATCATGTTCTTCAAGGCCGAAGTTTGAGGAGGAGAGCAGTCTTCTGACTAGCGCTGGTCCTGTTACCTCTCGGCGAGCTTTCAGAGCTGAGTGTTGGAGGTTCCGCTGGCCTGGGCGGAGAGCGACCCCAAGTACATCGTCGGCAGGAGTCTTGGTATTCCGAGCTTTCGGGAATAGGCTTCGGCGAGAAAGGCTCAGGGGCATGTGCAATTTGCAGCGATGCGGAGTTGCCACTCCAGCCATGACACAATCTGACTAACCAGAAGCACGGCGACGCACAGAATCCTCGGTACAGCGAAATTCTGGGCACTGGTGCTCTCCAAGCTACTAGAGTTACTAAACACTAGGCAAGTCACCTCCAACGAGTAAATCTTGCCAACCCTCATGTCCGTGGACTCTGCTGGCCCCAGCTCTTGGCTCGAAGTTATGCTAGCGAAACAGTTCCCACAACTCTGGCAGGCTAAATTCTGCCTTCGGCCGCTGGCAACCTCTTTCGGCTGTTGCCGCCGTCAAGTCTTGACACTTACGGTGGCTCAGATTCCCGGAAGTTTTGAAGACGAGAACCCCTCCTCCATTACGCAGACCGCCTATGCAGAAGATCCACTATTTAGGCTGCATTGCCTGCGGAAAGGTAGAGTGCTCCAGCAGGTCGCGCGGCAGACCTTGGCAGAAGTGTTTCCTTCTGTGCCGTTGACAGAGCCGCCGCGTGGCCTTTGTGCAAATGGGAGCAGAAGAGGAAACCACACAGCTGAGTTTGACTTTAGACACGGTGATCGCAGGGTTGAGTGCAAGGGAACCAGCATGGCTTTTTGTTCTGCCCATCACCGCTGGTTTGCCGACTGGAGCGGAATCAAGTTTAAGCAAGCTATCTTTGACGATTTGTTTCTGGTGCTCCACTCTCCTGGGTGGGTCGACGTTGTTCGCCATGATGGTGCTGCAGCTGTTGCAGAAGCTGGAGTGCGAACAGCCTTCGTGGGTCAGTCTGTGAGGGTCTACGCGGCTCGAGGCTGCTCTGATGCTCGAGAGGCCCGCCAAGTTATTCTACGAAAACTGCTGACATCTTCACATGCCTGTGAGCAGCTTGCGACACGTCGATCTGACAGCGGCTACATTGCGGAGGTGGTGTCGCAAGAGCTCGGTCGGGAGAGTTGCAGACTTTCCACCAAGTGGTACACTGGAATTCCCTTCGCAGGGTGTAGCCCAAGCTCTCGTGGATTACGTTTGCAGAAGCTAGCATTTGCCATCGATCAACTGTGCCACCCAGGCTGTCGATTTCACACCGAGGTAGATTCTTTGGAGATTGTGGGTGCGCTTCGGCAGCAGCGTCGTGGTGCACATCGAGGCAGTGCCGATTGGTGGCGTGGCAACGTCAGGGTAGAATTCAAATCCTCAAGTCTTTCTTGGGATGTCCACAGACGAAGGTGGAGAGCCCATTTTGCTCGCGTAAAGTTTCCTTCGCAAGTCCGACCCTGCACTGCCTCGTTTGACGAGCTGCTTCTTGGTTTGTACACACCGCTTGGGCTGTACTTGGTGCAGCATGCCGGAGTGGCTGGACAGTCAAGAGCTGGTAGGGGCACGGACACTCTGGGCCATTCGGTGATGGTGTATGGGCCCACAGACGAGAAGTGCCCGGAAGCGGCGCTGGTAGTTGTGCTTGCGAAGCTGCAGCAGTCGGGTTGCAAGCTCCTCGTGTTTGTGAAGTGGTGAAAAGCGTGCTTTTCCAGGTTGGCGGCGGCGCGATGCCTTGGACCTTGACTGCGCGGATTCTGTACCGATGACTGTTCAAGATCACGTCTCAGAGTCACTAATTGCGGCTGCGCGTTGTTGCACACTAATTGGCCAGGCAGGTTGGTTTCATGTCCGGTTTGTCTACGCTAATTACGTAGGACTCAGGCCCACGATTGCGTTTGCTATCCACATCTTCCTGCTAACATGACCATGTATGTTGCTCAGTTCTGCATGCCCTGACAAGACATGCTCTGACAAAACCTGAGATGTCCGGAGATTACCATGAGGAGGCCTCGCAGCCTCACGACGGTTCGCCCCAGGTGACCAACCATGTCCTCCGGCAAGCAGCCAGCCTTCCTGACTCATTGGCCAAGGTGAGAGCGAAGAGGTGAAGCTCCGCTCCTTCACGACCAAGATCCACAAGGCATGATCTGAAGTCCAGCTTGAATTTTCCTTGCGTCGTATGTTCGGGATCTCGGGAGACATGGGAGAACTGCACTGGAAACCACGGCTCATCTCTGAGATCACGCAGTACACCAAAAGCGAAGGTGTGTGTGGCAATTCTCCGTCTTACCAGCAACATAGCGAAGTCATCAGCAACTCCAGGTAAGGAGGTGCTGCTTGAGCCCCCTCACCCGATGGTCTTTGCTGCTTTGCTCACCAGGTGGATGGTGCCGTGGCCTACCGCTACAGTGAAGCCGGTGCTTAGATGAGCTCGACCTACCTGGGCTCGAGCTTATGATGCCCTGAATTTGCCCTGTAGGCCTCGACGGTCTGTAGGGTTTCAGGACTCAGCCAGAGGCTAGAAAAAACAATGAGCTGTTTTTAAGACTGACAAGGCGGACGACTCGAATTCAGGCTGCACCCTGCCTGGAAACATGAAGCCACACGAGACTTGCGGCAGCAGAGCCGCACGGCATGTCCCGCAACGTCTTTGAGAATCTTTAGTGCAGCAGCTCGTGCAGTGTATCTACAGCTACAGAAAAGTCTGACGTGCCGAAGCTTCAAGAATTGCAAGTAGTTGTTTAATGGACGGGCTCCAGCTCTTGCGCACGTTGAGCTGCCCCTCCAGTTCGGCGCACTCGTGCCGGACACGCTCTGGAACCTTCGGAGTATGAGGATGCGATCTCGCTCGAAGACCGTACTGCTTTGGCAGCTTGCAGCTTCGCGACACGAGTTGGCTCCCTGCTGCCCTGCGCTGAGTCGGCTGTTTCGGTGGAGCTGCTGGCTCACGTGAGCATCTTTAGGCAGTGCGATGCACAGCCACTTGCACAAGCAGGCACAAGCATTGTGGTGTCTACGAACTCTCCATGCCTTGATGGGGGCAGTGGCAGCAAGACTCCTGACTTTCACCAAGCTGGCCACAGCCTGTCAGGCCTCAAGACCCGTCCTCCATCCCCAGACTAGAAGCCTCCCTGTGGTGCACAAGGCTCTTCATCTAGACTCGGTGCAACCATCGCGGTAGTCATTAGGAGAGCATCCAGTTTTTCCATCCCAAAGCTGTGAGCCATGGCAAAGCTGGCAGATGCTCTGAAGGAGGCCGCCGGGGCTCGCGGGCGCTTTGGGGGTCTTTGAACATTCGCCTCGCTTAGCCTCTCTTAGCCGAGATCTGGGTCGTGCGCTTCATCGACTCCAGACCTCTTCTTCAGATCGCCTCGCCAGCACAGCGAAGTGCCCAGAGCAATTCATAAACCCAAATTTCCGAAAAAGGACGGCATGGCGATGTCTTACCGCAAAAGCTCTTGTGCTTTTCTTCTGCATGGACGGCGAAGCTGTCGTGTTTCTGCAGCTGCCCCGAGAACTTGTAAGACCTGCCTGAATTCATGAGCTTTCAAGACCATGCCCAACAGCGCCGAACCTGTGAGCCCCAGCCAACTCCCGCCAAACATGCCTGCAAAGAAACCCCAAAACCTGAACCCTAAACCCCAAACCCTGAACACCGAGTCTGAACCCGAAGCCCGGGTTTGTGGAAGGCTGCCGCTGTGGCGACGGCGGAAGAGGGAGACTTCAACTCGGCGTCGGAAGCTCGGCGTGGGGATTCAGAGATCATGTGGGAGTGGGAGTGTGGAATAATCAATAGTAAAATCCCAGTTAGTCCCCCCTATGTACCTATACTACCATTAGTATAATAGACCCCAAACCATGTGCCAATCACTACGGCTCCTATGTTATATGTTGGACATCGGATCTCCCAGTTTGGCTTTCGTGATTTTTTCGAACTCTGGGAATTCTGGGTTGAGATGGTAGGGTCCCCGGATCTCAAGCTCCAGCGGTTTGGTGTCAGTGGCTTGCTTTTAGATTTTCCTTGCTCAGAAACTGGGCTCGTTAGCGGCTAGCACCTTGATAGAGATTTGCATGGCTGTATGAGTTTGGAATTGGAAGTTGGGGTTTCCAACACCAAGCACAGAGTCCAAAAGCCTTTGCAGGGGCTGGTTCACATGACGCCCTCGCCCTTAATTACTTGAAGGCTGGAGCCCCTCAATTCTGGCCCAAACATCCCGTAAGCCCTAAGCCTCAGGCAAAAAAAAGCCTCTTGAGCTCTAGGTTTTCTGGCATCCTCACGAAGCTCAAGAGGGGCGTCGCGGAGGCAGATGCTGTAGACTGCCAGGTATGCATGTATCCACTTGGGCGCTCGTTGGCTGCCTTGGGGACTTTCGGCATATCATTCTGAAGGACACAGCGTGAGTCAGACTGAGTCAAAGGCTAGCAGAGCGGAGCTTCATTGAGCTTCGAACCCTCCCCGAGCTCTTGGGCAGGTCAAGAAGACGCCGGCCCTCTTGGAGGAGGCTCCTCTCGTGGTTTATGCGCAGCCTCAAATCAAAGCCCTGAGCCCTAAACCCCAAACCCAAGTACTCCAAGCCTCAAGCTGAGTACCCCAAAACCCTCAAGCCCCAGACCACATCCATCGAAGCTAGGTCGGTTTTCTCGATACCGAAATTGGATCATGTCTGCCCTGTCAGTATCGGGCTCGACCAGAAGACTCCCAAGTTGATTTCTGTTCCGATTTCTCAGACTTCAGGGCCCAGTAGCCTAGTCTTGATCCAACAAACCTGGAACCTACAACGCATAAAGCCCCGAACCCTAAAACCAAAAAACCCGAAACCCCCTAAATCCCTGAAGCCCTAAACCCCAAAGCTTAACAAACCCATAAAGCTCCTGAACCCCGAAACCCTAAACTTCTGTGACATATCAGGTCCCTGGTGACATCGATGCCTGGCCAGAGACTCGGAGCTCTGAGAGTTGGGCGCCAGAGGCTTGGATCCTTCTCCCTGGGTTTTTAGTGGGGGGGGTTTCGGGTTTCGGTTTGGGGTTTAGGGTTTACGGCTTAGAGGTCACTTGGTATAGTGGGCCCCAGAAAGTTGGAACATGGATGTAGGAGAGTAGGTGCCAGTTAGGACCCCGTATACTTTGCCTTCAGGGCGTGGAGATAGTAATGTTCCAACTTTCTGGCTTCTACTAGAGGGGTTTAGGATGCGAAAAGACTTTCAGGGGAGTGAGGGGCTTAGCTGGGAGTAGGGGGTTGAGGGATGGGCGGGCTTAGTCGAGATTGGCGGACTAGCTTAGGCATGAGGGAAGCTACTAGGGGTTTAGGGCGTTTGGGGATTAGGGAGTTTAGGGTACCGAGGCCCTTCTTGCTTCGCGTCTCTTCTGAAAAGGCTTCCTTCGCGAAGCAGGCGCGTGGGCATAGCATCCATGTGCACTCCGTAGACTCCGAGAACGGCCAGCGAAAGCAAGCGGATGAAAGGAGAGTCCAAACAAAAACCACCAAAGCCCCGAGACGTGAACCCCGGGTTTCGCTAGAGTCTCTGGGTCACGGCTTCCTTCCCTGAGCAGATTTGGGAGACGTCCGCCATACTGCTGACGAGCCCAGTGCCCAATCCTTGGTTTAGCTTGTGATAGACAGGATGTAGCTGATGCTTCAATGAGATGCCGTCTTTCCTTCTGCACGACTGCTGTGACTGCTAGTAGCAGAGCAGTGCTATGGCAAGAGGCACATTTTGCTCTGTGCTGCCATTCGTTGCTGTGACCGAGGTGGGCTGCTAGCTTCCAGCAGCAGGAAGACACGTCCCGACTAGGTCTCCACAAGGTGCCGCAATATCCGGTTGCTCCTAAACCCCGAAACCCTAAATCTGTTTTGTAATGATGTAACTCGGCTTCGGCCCAGAGCCCGTGCACTTGGAATGCGCAGCGTCAGCAGCCGATAAGGGAGAGCGCACCTTCCTCGATCCGTATTCATGCCTTTGCCTTCTGTAGGCATGCGACGTCTGATGGCTGTAGCCATGTCGGCTTCCTTGTGCATAGCATTGCGTCGCAGATATGTCCATCGGCGACGCCGACTTTGTGATTCGCGCTGGCCGTGTGATTGATGGCACCGGGAAGCCCGAGTTCGTAGCAGACATTGCAGTCAAGGATGGTGTGATTTCCGCAATCGGGCAAGACCTCCCTGTTCAGGGAAGGCAGGAGTTTGATGCCCGAGGACTGCTAGTCACGCCTGGATGGGTAGATGCTCACACGCATTACGACGCTCAGTGGTCATGGGATCCCTATCTTAGCCCCAGCTCTTCCTGCGGGGTTACGACCTGCATCATGGGCAACTGTGGCATCGGCTTCGCTCCGTGTCAGAAAGACCGACGAAAGTTCCTTGCACACCTTGTCGAGGCAGTCGAAGATGTGCCGGAGCGGATCATAGCAGCAGGGCTAACCTACGACTTCGAGACCTTCGAAGAGTACATGGACAGTCTCGATCGTGCAACCCTGGCTTGCGATGTTGCTGTGCTCATCGGGCATTCGGCCGTGCGGGCATGGGTGATGGGAGATCGGGCCAACTTGTCCGACAAGCCCGGAGGCGCAGGGATTCAAGCCTTAGTGCAGGCCGCTTGCATGGGAATGCAGCAGCAATCTCGTCTCCCTACAGGTGCGGCAGAGCATCCGCTGAAGGATCATGAGATCGAGGCCTGGGTTGAAATCATGCTCCCATC